TGGTTTTGATACCACACCGGTTGACATTGTAGCCTAAAAATTTTCCCAAAGTGACTCCGAAGACACACTTATTCGGATTTAATTTCATATTATATTTTCTTAAAATTTGGAAAATAACGTCTAAATCATTAATTAAAGATTCAGAGGACTTTGTCTTTACAACCATGCCGTCAACATAATACTCCACTTTATTGCCAATTAAAGGCTCAAAAATTTTATTTACAAGTCGTTGGAAGGTTGCTCCAGCGTTTTTAAAACCAAAGGGCATAACTTTATAGCAGTATAGCCCTAGTTCAGTTACAAAGGCAGTTTTGTCTTGGTCAGTCGTGTCCATCCTAATCTGATTATAGCCGGAGTAGGCATCCATGAAACTCAGCAACTCGTGCCTTGAGGTCGCATCTACCAGGCGGTCAACTTTGGATAGGGGGAAGCAATCCTTTGGGCAGGCTCTATTCAGGTCGGTGTAGTCGACGCACATGCGCCACTTGCCATTGGCTTTCTTCATGAGCATCGGGTTTGCGACCCAGCTCGGGTAATGGACCTCCCTGATGAAGTCTGCAGCGAGGAGCTTCCCGCCTCCTCATCGACTTCCCTCCACCGTTCCGGGGTGAGGTTGCATTTTCTTTGTCGGACTGGCCTAACTAAAGGGTATACATTCAGTTTGTGAGTTATGACACTAGGGTCAATTCCGAGCATTTCTGCCGCAGACCAGCAAAAACGTCTAAATTGTTAAGTACAAAAGTTAATAGTTGATTTTGAAGCAGTTCTCTTACGAGTGCTCCGATCTGGAGAGTCTTGGTGGGTTCGGTTTCGGACACTGGTATGTGGACCGTCTCTTCCATCGGGGCAGCTCGCTCCTCGTTGTAGTCTGCCAGTTATTCCAGTTCGACATCCTCTGCTATCTTTACTTTTCTTTTGAGAGTAGCCACATAACACTTCCAAGACTCGAGCTGGTCGCCTTGTACAACTCCCACTCAACAATCCGTTGGGAACTTCATTGCGAGGTAGTAGGTCGACACTACTACGCGTAAAACATGCATAATAGGCCGACCTACGATTGCGTTGTACGAGGATGGGGTGGTGACCACCAGGAATGTGTGCTCAAACCAGACAATATTTGGTCACGTGCCCGCCTCCACCAGTACTGTGATACGACCTATAAGCCTAACTTCTTCTCCATTGAACCCTACTAGTGGGGCGTCTACCGGCTTTAGGTCTCTGTATTGTAATTGTAGCTTGTCAAAGGTTTCATTGAAGAGGATATCTGCCGAACTACTTGAGTTCACAAATATTCGCCTTATTTCAAAGTCATTGATGACCATCTTCACAACCAGGGCATCGTCATGAGGATACTGGATCCTGCGGGCGTCATCCTTGGTAAAGTAGATCGGTTCTTCAATCCAAGGTCGTTTGGGTGGGTTCTCTACTTCATGCTTTAGCTCTCGAAATGATGTTCTCCCAGCCGCCACTGTGCACCCCGCTACAATAGATCCCCCTGTGATTATATTAATCACTCCGCGGATTGGTCTCTCTTCTGGTAGCGGGCAAGGTGGTTGTTCGTTTTGTCTGCTACTCTTTGGGGCGTCTTTTTTCTATTCTCCTTGTCGGTTCCCCTGTTCCTTTTCTTCGTGTAGAATGTACTTTTTCAAGTATCCACGACGGATCAACTCTTCAATTTCGTCATGGAGGTTTCTACAGTTTTCTATACTGTGACCGTAGTCCCGATGAAAGTGACAATAGATGTTCGAGTTCCTAGTCGTTGGGTCTCCACAAAGTCTAGGTGGCCATCTGACAATAGGGGAATCCTTTATTGCCATTAGGATCTCTCCTCACTTCGTGTTCAAAGGGGTGTAGTTCATCATCTCCACTAGAGGGGTCCTGGAACGCCGACCCGACCTGTAACTTCGCGAGGGGGATTTGCTTCTCGAGCTCAAGGATTTGCTTCTTCGCTTGGGGGACTTACTTTTCTTTCTTTTCTTGTTGCTCGTCCCCTCTTCCTCCCTCTTCCATTTTTTCCTAGTTGGTTGTCAGTTTTCTGGTTTATTTCCTCTTCAGTGCTGATAAACTGGAGGAACTCGGTGATATTTTTTTGGTTTGTTGGCTACAACATGCCACTTGAACTCTTTATAGGTAATGCCTTTGCGTGCTGTGGTGAGACATACTGTTGGGTCAAGGTTCGGTATTCGTAGGCATGTCTCGTTAAAGCATTTGAAATAGCTGCGAATTGACTCTCCCTCCCTCTACACCACGTTCAGAAGGCTCTCCCGTGACTTTGGGCACTTCTTACTAGTAATGAATTGGGCCGTGAACATGTCTGTGAACTGCGCCCAACTTCCGATGGAACCCCGCACCAGGTTTCTGTACTAGGTTTGAGCTACTCCTTTGAACGTGGTGGAGAAAGCCACGCACATACAAGCCTCATCGGCCCCGACAAGGTGCATTTGGAACTGGAACGTGTCCACATGATCATTGGAATCATAGGACCTATCGTACTTGTCTAGTGGAGGGACCTTGAAATCTTTCAGCATGGGGGCTGCTAGGAGCTCGAGTGTCAAGGGAGAAGGCCGCCTCAAAAGAGCAAGCGTTGTTCCTGTGGCCACCGAGCTCACTTCCTCTCTTTCTCGACCTTGGTCAGTTGGATGGTTGGGCTTTGTTGCTGGATCATTTCTTGCTGATGAACGGCAAGTCTTGCGACGTCGCCACTGCTGGTTCTTCGATGGAGCGACATTTGTACTACTAGCCTCTGTGTTGTTAGGCACTTCGATCTTACTTCGAATAGTAGGGCGAGCTAGTTCGAAGATTCTTCTCGCCGCCTCCTCTTCGTCATGTGTTCGATGCTGGATGCTGTGAGGAACCGAGGGGTCTCTCCTAGAGCCTTCTGTCCTAGAGCCTGCACCTCGGACCTCGGATCATTGCTCCACATGGGAAATTTGCCAACTGCGCCTCTTGGGCTGGCTTGGTTCGGGTCTATTCCTTGGGCTTTCTCTTCGAGAGGCAGGGGGTACGTTGGTCGCCTACAACACCCCGGGGTGGAGTACGTCCCAAATGGGGGCAGTACTTGCGAAGTTCTCTCCCTACGAGGCGGGGACTAGTGCTGGTTGTTCGCCGGCTAGTTTGGTTGTAGTGGTGGGAATTGATGATAAAAGTAATATTGCTAGAACTGATGAATCTGTTGCATCTGAATCTGCATCGTTCGGACACTCTAGACAAGGTCGTTGAACTGGGAGTGTCCAATCCCAAGGGGAATCACGGAAGGCTCCGAGAATGTGGTGCTCACCTGGGGGAGGGGGACACTCACCTATTGGGTAGCGTGGGGTGCAAATAGTGATGAGACTCTAGATATGGTCAGAGGAATGGTGAACTGGCCAATTGTCACCGAGGGTCCTTAGGGAGAGACTATCTGCTGCTCTTGCCCCCCTGTGATGTTCATGTTACCCTTACCGTTGTGGCTGGAAGATGCCATTGTGGTTGAGACTGAGTTTGAAACTGTAAAGAGATTGGGATGACCTTTCAATCGTTTTCTACAGACGGTGCCAATTGATGGTGCGCAATCTGGAAGCTCCTAGCTAGAGGATGATATGGACCTTAGTCGTGTAGCGAGCTGGACCAAGCTGCAAGACAGAGGATTAAAGCACCTGGGGCGGTTAACCCGGTGAGGTCGTTCCGATGCTTAAGTCAGTTCTATGTTGTGATTGCAAGCTAGAATCTAAGTGCTAAAGAGCTTGGATGCAAGTAATCGCGCGTACCTGGACCATGGAGGGGTTGACGCCTTTATATAGTCGAGTTATTGTGGGTTTCCCGGAACATTTCTGAGATCTGCGACCTAAATGGGTGAGATCTGTTCCCGCTTTAGTCAGGGAATAATGTATCAGTCAATGAATTTCATTATCGTCGCCCGATTCAGACGGGGAGAAGATAAGGCTTGCCGTTATGTGGTATGATCCCGTAATATCCGAAGTCTGTTGGGAAGATACTGGGATTTATTACGTGACACTTCGATTCCTGGGCCCCGAACTCGATCAGCAACCGAGGTGTCATTACGCTGAGGTGAACTATTGCTGAAGTGACTTTACGTCGAGTTCCGCATAGCACTGATTAGGCTCCCTTTACTGAGTTGTCATCCTAAGTGCAGATCGCGTCCACGTAACTTTTATTTATCAGGTCGTGCCAAATTATTCCTCGTCAGTTCTCACTAATTATATTATATAAATAATATATATATATATTTATTGATTATATAATAGCATCAAATTTTTTTTAATTACAATCCAAATGGAATGAGATTCGAACCAAATATCCTGTAAGATATTTGAATTCAAATTCAATCATAACCTAATTGATTCTTATCAAATGCGGTTCGATCGAATTTATTATGGAATCGGATTGGATAATACCTTTTGCCAAGTCCGATCGGATCCGTTTGCACTTTGCAGCGCTATTCGTGCGTGATCACTTTACTTTCCATTCAAGAGTGGGTGAACTGAACCACCTGACCGTCAATGGTCAATAGACAAAAGGAATATTTCAAGTTAATCGTGAACGGGGGTAATTTGGAAAAGCCGTCAAGCAGACTGCTGAGTTCACATCTCCGCCCCACAAGGGGCCGCTACGCTAGTCTGGCTATGAAGGAAGAGGCGAAGAGCCAACCCAGCAATTTGAAATCCGGACTTCCAGAGCGAGAGACAACTGTAATCAACAACCGTAGTCCAGCTAATGGGTCGAAATCGAACCGTCGAACAAGTAACAGCTAACAAAACTAAAGAATCGTCAAACCGTCAACCTGAACCTGAAGTCACATACGGAACGGCTCGATCACGATCACAACACAAACTGGTCGCCGGGGCTCAAGGGATAAAACCTCCCGAGATTTGAGTTCAACAGTCAATTATTAAGGGTATTATCGTAATAGCACCTCCTATTACAGTTGTTCTATAGAAGTTCGCCGTTTGAAAGTTGTCTGACGTTGACGAGAGGCGGAAGTGAGTAGTGAGAGTGGAGGAGATAGGAAGTCCAGCGTGGCAAACGGAACCTTGTGCTTGCGTAGTGCTTTCCCTTTTATTTATACACTCTCCAATGTTTATTGATTCCCCCCTCTCTCTCTCTCTCTCTCTCTCTCTCTCTAGCCTATATTTCTCTGCTTTTGAGTTCTGGAGATTCTTTCTTTAATGGTGAACATGGACTCTGGAGATTACTTGATTTGCGTTTAAGTTTGCATCTCAGCTCTTAAATCGACTGGTGATTGAACATTTATTCAGCCTGGTGCACCTGCGTCGGAAATAGAAGGTCGGAGCAAAGATGTTGGACGGATTTCTGGGACGAGGGTTTTCAGGGAAATGGTTAGTCAGAACTCAGAACATCGACTCTGATCGTCGCTTTTAGATCTTCTTCTCATTTTTCTCATCCGTTGGACCGGAGGAACTGGGGAAAGGAAGGATCTTTCTTGTGTGTTTTGTTTTTACTAATTTTTTTTTTTTGGATTTTTGTGTTTCTTGTTGTAGTAAATCGTCAATCAAGGATATCAAAGCTCGAATCGATGTGATACGGAGGAAGAGGAACGCAATGCTGAAGTATCTGAAGAAGGATATGGCTGATCTACTTTCCAGTGGTCTCGATATCAATGCGTACGGCCGGGTAACGTTCATTTTATATCGCTTCCTCTTCACTGTTTTTCGTTGTTTCTTGCATTTTTTTGGACTGCATGATATAAATGCAAATTAAACAAGGATCAAGGTAGAGGAAGAAGAGAATATGGAATCGTGAAATTTCATGGAAAAAGGAAGAAACTAATCATCTGAATTTGTGATGGTTTTGTGCCTCAAACTTTTTTTTTTTTTCAAATTATTAGCTCTTCTGCTTTTTCATTTTTTTTTCTCTGCGAATCTGGAGTATATGGATTGAATTGGCCAAGTAAAGGGATTACGATTCTTTTCTTTTCTATTTTCCGTTCCATTTTTTCCTTGATCTTCATGAGCGATTTTAAGTTGCTTATCCTTGTTATCAAAGCAAATTTAAATTTCGTCTAGCTTTTTCTGAAGTTTCTTATGAGGTGAACGACATAAACTTTATGAGTCCACAATTTGGAGCCTAGAGTTTTTTAAAGATAGGGTGGGTGGCTTGTGTTTCCATTCAGCCACGCATACGGATTCATGTATCGCAGACCTGTTCAAGTGTGCCTTTGTTGTTTTTTCCCATCTATTTCTATTGATTTTTTACATATTTTCTGCTGATTAAAAAAGCTATAGACTTTCTTGAGTTCTACAGGCTTTTCATGTCTAATATATGTTCTTTGAGTCTCTTTTCATTTTCTCTGCTGCTCCAACGATCCTTTTATGCCTGTGCTCTGTATGCACCATGGTCTTATATTAGCAGCTGTAAGGTAAATTTTGTGCTTGTCCCGGAAAATCAATGCAACGTTAGATCTTGATTTCTTAAACATGCATTTCTATGTACTGGATACATGTATTTGGGTAGCAAAAACCTTTTTTCATGCGTTACATGCACATTAGGGAAGGTTGCATGAGGAGCTGATACAGTAACTTGGTGAAAGTTCATTAATTTTTTTTTTCCTATGGTCAATTTGCATGGGTGGATACTGTAACTTAGAGGAGTTTAGGGAGATTTCATACCTAATAAGCCCGACCCAGGCTTTCTCAAATATCCGGTCATTTTCCTATGGTCAATTTCATACCCAATCATTTTTCGGGCCAGGATCGGGCTTTCTCAAATAAGCCCGGCCGGATACTATTACATATAATAAAAAAGCATTTATCTTATATATAATAAATATTTGTTTCTTAAATTATTAATAAATATTAATTTACTGTTAGGAAATACAAATTGGTTTATTAATTTATTAAATTATTACTAAATTAATATAATATTAGTTTATAAAAGTACACTAAAAATAAGACATTTTGTCATTTTGTGTACAAGTCGGGCTTCAGGCTTTATATAAGGGCTAGGCTCGGGCTCAAGGTCTAGGCCCGATGGTCGGGCCGGGCTCGGGCCTGCACATTTTCTGTTGATAAAGAGGCAAAGACCGTCCCGGCCCAGCCCATGAACAGTTCTAATGACTGTAAACCTATATGACTAATACTTCTCTAGAGAAACCTCATGCAACCTTTTGAGGAATGTTAGAGAAGAAAGATAATCCAAAATGCCAAAGAGCTCAAACAGTATATGCTTCACTTGAGTGTGGGTTGTACAAAATAGTTTTCAAGGCTCCAAGGCAATGCTAGGCGATAGGGGGGCGCCTTGTCGCCTAGTTGCCTAGGTGATGGATTTTTTTTCTTTTGTAAGTAAAAAACATATATCCTAAGGTAGTTCCCTAGGTTCCATAACCATTTTTCCTTATTAATTATCCATAGTTTTCATAAGAAAAGCAAACTTCATGTTAAAGTATAGAAAATCAATATATTCCAATTTCCAACATATTCATGAGAAGAAAAAAAAAGAAAGAAAAGAAAATTCAAAAAATATAGGGGCTGAAACCCTATTTTTGTTATAGGAAAATAATGATTGGTTTAGGTTTTGAAGTCTTTGAGGGTTCAATACAACATTTAGCAATGCTTGTGTTGATTAAACCCTAACAAACAAGAAAATAATTAAAAGAAATTAGTATATAATCACACGATGAATATTTTAGTTTAATAATTTCTATTTTATAATTATAACCTCAAAAAATTAAGAATATAAAAGTATTTTATAACACACTGTACAAAACTGCTTGGCGATTAAAAAAATAATAATTTCCATTACTAATGAAATTCCTAATGCAATTAAAAAAATAATGCATTTTCATCTTTATTCACCAAGGTTCTCCAACCTAGTTTCTCTTCCACAAATATCTTGATACATTCCTGAAAGGCTTGTTTTTTGGCTGGATGTGGAACAGGCGGAAGGGCTCCTAGTTGAGCTATACCTCTCTTCCTGTTATGATTTTGTAGAGCAATTTTGCGAGTGTATCTTGAAACAGCTTTCAGTCATGCAGAAACAGAGGTATGCTTGGGTTACCATTCTATCATTAACTGACGTGTCTTATTTTCATATGGCATGTTTTTTAATTTCCTACTTATTATGCCCATGCTTTCTTTTATGAAGGAACTATACCAATGCTTTTAAGCCTTAAGTTATTTACTTACCAAATACCCTTAGGTTGGTTAAAAGTCCTAAGCTCATTTCAATCTCCTTCATTTATGAATTTCTAATCTTGATAAACTTATATCAGGAGATGCAGTTATGAGTTTGTGGTTTGTAACTTTGTGTCCCAAAGGAAATTGATTGTGCAAAATGGTGGAAACACAGGGATGTCTTCTTTCATATGGATGTTGTCCTTTTCATCAACTTGTTGCTGACATTATTGTTCTTTCATCTAAGAGCCAATTAGAGTTGGTTTCAGGTTTCATAACTCCCGAATTATCACTGTCTTGTAGATACATTCAGTTGATATATCTATAACATGCTTGGAGAAGAATAGCTCAGGATTAAAAGATAGAACTCAGTTATAAAAAGTGAAATGAAGTACCTTTACAAAACTATGTAGTCACATAAAGTGTGGCAAGATGAACATGGTGTGGGCAGATGTAGCATATTTCTGTGTTGGGGCCTTAAAGGGATATTAATAACTGGTATTGAACTTCTCATATTTGTTTGTCTTGGTTTCCATGTACCTATTTTTCAAGGCCCTAACATTATGCAGGTTCCTCTTTTCCTTGTTAATTGTGTTTTAGTTTATTTTTGTTTTCAATTACACTATGAGGTATGGCATTGATATATGTTTCTATAAAATTTATTTTACAGTGCATGCCCTGAGGAATGCAGGGAAGCTGTACCATCTCTAATGTTTGCTGCTGCAAGGTTTGCTGATTTGCCAGAACTGCGTGACCTTAGGCAAATATTTACAGAGAAATATGGGAGTTCCTTAGAAGCTTTTGTGAATCAAGAGGTGATAATGCATACCTCTATCCTGAAAAGAACAATCTTTGTACCTTAAAGCTCTATCTAGAACTGATCTTTTAAGATGGTTTTGTAGTTTGTTGAGAAATTGGCACCAAAACCTCTCACAATGGATAAGAAGCTCCAGTTAATGCGGAAAATAGCACAAGAGTTCTCTATAAAGTGGGACTCCACAGCGTTTGAGCAGAATATGTCTAACCAGAAGATGCCTAATGCCCCTTCATCTGCACAGGCAAGCTTATCTGATTTTCTACCCCTTTTGCCTTTTGTCTCCTTTGCTTTTTTTTTTTTTTTTTTTGGGTGGGGGGGGGGGGGGGGGGTGTGAGGGACTGAATGCAAGTTTAAATAAAAGTAGTATTGGGACCTTCTGTGTACACTTACATGCAACTATATCTTTTTTCCATTTGACCTCTTGGTTTAGCTAAATATTTTGCAATATTTTTTATATTTATTTTGCAGGACCAACTGAAGAAACATAGATCTTTCAATGATGGCAATGATAATGGACACAATGTGCGTGATGGCAGAGAGGATACTGTCCCTAAAAGAGATAACCAGAATGTCTTCTCTAGAGGAAGGCAGGAAATCACTAAGGATGGGTACAAATCACACAATGATAGGGAAGACACTGTCCCAAAAAGAGATAACCCAGACCATCTGCTTCATGAAAGGAAGGAGCTTACTGGTGATGAGTACAAACTGCACAAGGGTAGGGGAGATGCTATCCAGAAAAAGGAAGACCGGGATCTTTCTTCCCATGGAAGACAGGAATCTAATATTAATGGATACAAATCATTCAATGGAAGAGAAGATAATATCCCCAAAAGAAACAATCAAGATGGTTTATCCCGTGGAAGGTGGGAAGTCATCAAGGATGCCTATGAGCCACGGAAAGGCATGGACCATACTGTTGCCGAAAGAGAAAAACAAGATCTTTTGTCTGATGGAAGGCGGGAATTTACTGATGATGGGTACAAACGGCACAACACCATAGGGGATACTGTTATGAAAAGAGATAAGCAAGAGCTTTTGTCTGATGGAAGACGGGAATTTACTGATGATGGTTACAAACGGTACAACGCCAGAGGGGATAGACAGGAATTTACTGATGATGGGTACAAACGACACAACACCAGAGGGGATAGACGGGAATTTACTGATAATGGTTACAAACGGCTCAACACCAGAGGGGATGGACAGGAATTTACTGATGATGGGTACAAACGACACAACACCAGAGGGGATATTGCTGATGATGGGTACAAACGGCACAACACCAGAGGGGATACTCTTATGAAAAGAGAACAGGACATTTTATCTTGTCCAAGGCAGGAACTTATTGATGATGAGTACAAGCACTACAATCACAGGGAGGTTCCTAGAAGACCAGAAGTGGCTCCCACCCACACAGCACGAGAGCAGGTGAAAGCAGTTGGTAAAGACAAACCCATTCCAGGTAGTAGCCACAACGATCTACAGAATCATTCAAACTCAATAGAAAATGTTCCCAAGGAAGAGGCAAAAAGTATGAAACCTTTTTCCAATAACATTGTTCCCCCTCCTTACATCAAACCAAAAGATGGTAAATACGGAACAAAGCCCGAGGCTCATCTTACAGGTTCAGACTTTGATGGATCATCTCTTGGTCCTGCATTCCATAATAGAGACTTTGGCAATAATCAAAGACCGCAAATGGCAAAAAACAAATCAGACCATGTTGACTATGAGCGACAAATGGCTGGACCTGAAAGGATGAATGGTCAAGGGGATGAAAAGAATCACTATCAACAGAGTGATTCAGCTGATGATGGAAAGCCAAAACCAAGGTCAGTCAGGAGGAGACACTTGAAACCTCCATCAGGTTGTGAAAATGATGGTAATTTTGAATTTGATGAAGGTGTCAAGAGAAGTTCAAGTGGCAGGAGAAGAGATCATGCAAGACGGAGACACCATGCTTTATTTGACGATGATCAAGATCAGAAGGATGAGGAGGAAAAGATGATGGATAGGCTGCTGATACACTACAGTAAGAAGCAACCAGCTTATGAACAGTGTGTACACAACAGACTAAGGAGGGAGTCGAAAGATCCTACTGCACATCAGGCTCGTGCTGATGTTAGTGAGAAACAACCACCTTGTGAACAGTACGTACAAGACAGACCAAGGAAGGAGTTTAAACCTCCTGCACATCAGGTCCATGCTGATGTTAGTGAACGCAGACGGCATAGAAACAGAGATGGGGACCACTTGAGCTCGGAGGCGAGACATCCTCTAGCTAGAACACTGTCACTCCCTTCAGAACCACAAACTCCAACTGAGGTGTCAAGGAGGCCTGTTCGTGCTGCTTCCTTTCAGCCTGATAGGGCGAGCTCAGCTGCCCATGTCCATCCTAAGCTTCCAGACTATGATGATTTAGCAGATCGAATAGCAGCCCTCAGAGGAAGGTGAAAGGTAATAGCAAGTAAAGCTTATCCGTATCTTCTTTAATCCTCTACACGATTTCTCCCACTGTATTCTTACCGCATATTGTTTCCCTCACTCTTACCTCTAATGTTTTCTGTAATTCATTCTATCTTAATGAAAAAATACTGGTTTTTCTCTTTTATTATTCCATTCGCTCTTCAGTAGATATAAATTGTAACGGATCCCACATTGTCAATAAATTGTAATTGAGATTGAGATCATCCGTTTGATTAATGAGGATTCTACTGATAAATACTTGATTCCGTTTTCAACCAAAGCGTTTTACTAAACTATTTCCAGAAGGGGAACACCCTTGTTTTAATGAGTCCTGATTACTGATTAGCTTAACTTGATGGCTGTTTTAGGGACTGTATAATCAAGGTAATGGGTCCATCATAGTAATGGTCATTTTGATTTGTACGTTATTTTTTTTTATAATTATTTTGATTTGTACGTTATTTGTAAAGCTTCTTTTGCTTTACGAGAGAATGTCTTCTATCATCCATTAGATGCCCTATGAAATCAGATCTATCTATACTATTTTAAAAAGTAGGAATGGCCTCAAAAATATTTTTGAAATCTTCCAAGGACAATTTTATCCCTCTATTGATAAAAAAAGGGCAAATAGGGTAATTGGTTTTTGATATTAAGGCTCAGTTTGGAAGGAGTAAAAATACAAATTTGTAGAGTGTAAAACCTTGTATTTTGTATATATTTGTACAGTACATATTTGTATTTACACTCCTAAATTGAGTCTAAATGAGTTGAAAAGAGGTAATTTAAAGATATCCAATACATTCATTTTTTTCTCATTAAATCCAACATTTAAAGTGATTAACTTGCATTCATGTTCATTGAATCATGTATTTAAGTCATTTTTGTTTCTTTTCATCATAAGTTCTATTAATTAAATCCATACTTAATAAATTAATAATTCCAATAACATAAAAGCTTATGCTTTTAAAATCTACCTAATAAAAATGATATTTTCATCTAGGTGGTGGTAAAAAATTAAATCATTTTGGGTCAAATGGGTTAATTCATGTTGCCACAATTAAATAATAAAATTAAAAAATAGATAAAATGAAAAAAAATAGAAATTAAAAAATTGGAAACATTTTTAACATACATATTACACAATAATAAGTATGATAAATAAGAAATGTTTTTATTAATGATGGAAATGGAATGTAAAATTTAAAACCAATTGAAAATAAAATATTTTCTTACTCTCTCTCATTAAATTCTATATTTAAGATATATTTTTTTCATCATTAAATTATTGTAATTAAATCTACAATATTAATTTTAATAGTATAAAAATAAATATTTCGCAAAGTAATATGAAAACAAAACCATTTTCTTCCCTCTCGGTGGTGGGCAAACAATTCGACCATTTGGGGTCAAATGGATTAATAAATAATGTCATAATTAAATAAGAAAAAAATTAAAATAAATAACTATGAAATGTAAGAAGTATTTTTATTAATGATGAAAATGGAATTCCAAATTCAAAATCTGCCTAGAAATGAAATGATGTCATAGTCAAATAATAAAATATTTAATAATAGAAAATACAAAGAATAAAAAAAAAAGATAGAGAAAATTTTGGGCACATATCCAATGTTATATATTTATAAAAAAAATATTATGTACATCTCTAATATTGTGTATTCATTATATTGAACAAAAAAAAGTTTTATACATAAGGAATAATTTTATCAGTGATGGAAATGTGATACAAAATTTAATGTCAACCTAAAAATCAAACAATCTTTATTTTTAGATGGTGGGTTAGTGGTTTGAGTCAAATGATACCATAGACAAACAAAAATTAATAAGTAAAAAATATTTTATATAATGTAAATGAAATATATAATTTAAAGGGAAAATTATAGTCAAAGTCGGTTGTACATTTAAAACCAACAAAACTTTGACAATCAGTTCTACATTTTAAATTATAAAAACCYCCGCCATGTCATCAAAGGCTTATGTGGCTATTGCCAACATGGGACTCTTAGTCCATGTTGGATACAACAAAAAACTTATACCGAAAATAGATTTTCAGTTTCTCTTCCACTTCCTCTATCTCTCTCCCTTCTCTCTCACTCTCATAGTCAACTCTTGATTTCCCACTCCCTGTCTCTCCCACTCTTTCAGCTTCGATCTATAGCCAAATCAAAACCTCTATCTCCTCCTCCCCCCCCCCCCTATTGTTCTCCCTCAATCTTTTTCATTCTTCTCCCTCACTCTCCCTTTCGGTCAATATCTCCTTCTCCCTCAATCTCTATTGTTCTCCAATTGGTGTAAATTTCATAGCCAAAAGATTCATTTAAATTTTTATCAAATTGGTGTAATAATTTTTGAACCATACCAAGTTGGTCTCATGTTCTTTTTATATGATTTGATTAATACCATATAAGTGTGTAAGAAAAAAAAAACAAGAGGAGTGGGAGAAAAACGGGGGGAGAATGATAAAATTAAAAGAAAATGAGAGATCAACCAAGAAAGAGAATATGAGAGATTGAGGGAGAACAATAGGTAGAGAGAGAGAGAATGAGAGAAATTGATATAGAGAACGTAAATATAAAAATCAAAAACCATATTTATTTACTTTCAAATCACGTAGTCGTTGAGTAGATAAAGATGACTATGAGTGAGAGAGTGTAAGGGGAGGGGGAGAGAGAGAGACTAAAACCCATTTTTTTACTTTCCAATCACTCAATATTAAAGGGCAATTTCAATATAAGCTTTTTGTTGTGTCCAACATGGATTTAGAGTCCCGTGTTGGCAACAACCACATAAACTTTCGATGACATGACAAGGGTTTTATAATTTGAAATGTAGAGCCGGTTGTCAGATTTTTGTTGGTTTATGGACCAACTTGTAGCCTAATTTTAAATGTACAGTCGGCTCCAATTATAATTTTCACTAATTTAAAACTAATACAAAAGCAAAGGTATTTTCTTATCTAGATGGTGGGTCAGTGATCGAACTTTTCAAAGAAACCCATGATGTCATAATTGAATAATAAATATTTAAGTTTATTTTTAATCATATTGTTACTTTTGTTCATTTTTAATTTCTATATTAACTATGATATATCTAAAATTCAAGTAATTAATATGAAGAAAATATTCTCACGTATAACACATATACTTAATAGTGGTTATAAGTTTTTGTACATGCAGAATTTTGGCCAGTTGAACCACTAGTTGGGGGCTGTCCACTGTTGGGCTTCAATGCTCAGCCCAAAGCCTCAGTCAACCTGCTTTCATTATTTAGTTTGGTGGGCCGAGTGAGTCCAATAATCCAACATTTACATGTTTTGTTATATACTATGCCCATAGAAAAGGAAAAGAAGACTGGGCACGAGTTGATTTAAAATTCGAATCACTATTTCTGTAGTTGAATTCAAATTCAAATATGGCCTGATTCAATTTGAATTCGCTCAATTCATAGGCCTATGTTCAAAAGAGTGTCCAAAGAAAAGTGTAGTGTGCCTGAGAATATTGGACACTGCTGTTAAAATGGTTGAAGCAGTGTTTGGGTACCAATGATAAAGCTCCACAAATTGGTATGTTGTTATTTTAGAAATCATTTTTCTTTTCTTTTTTCTATTTGGTACCATTGCTGTTGTTGCTGCTGCATATATAGTCATTTTTCATTGTCATGTCAGAGCAACAGTAAAAAAGGAACGATAAAACACCAAAAATGGATTTCAGACCACAGATATTTTTGGTACTGTGTGAGTTAATTGAAAAAATGCTGTCATATAAGCGTTACATAGGTGTTGGCGTTTATTGTGCGTGGTTTAACATTTATCAAATAAACACTAAAAAACATAAATGTTTGGATTTATGTGCACGAGACATTTGGGGAAATGTCAAATTCTTGTTTTCACGATGTTTTTTGTGTGGTGTTAATCTAAGGTAGAAAGTAAGAAACATTAAACCAAACAACAAAAGCAAGAAATGTTTAAAGTAGAATTATTCGAATAAACGTTTAAAGCAATAAATATCCTATTTATAAATGCCCATGAAATGAAATAAATACATCTTTCCAAATTTTCAAAGCATGGTCTAAGAAAACGTTTTTCAAAAAAGCGTATAATTAAACACCAAACATCTGAAAAATAGATTTAAGGTGGCATATTTTTCGAAAAAAAAAACCCAATATTGATTCCAAACACCAATTAAGCGAAAGATTGAACAGTTGTGGAACTCATGTATTTATGACTAGTTGGGGGGTGCTATCATTGGTTCCACTGTTTTCAAAACCGGTCAGACCGGAAAAACTGAGAACTGGTCACCTGATCGGTTCTGTTTTCCTCCAAAACCATTGATTTTGTCAGCAAACCGCTGAACCAGTCGATTAACCATTCGGGGGGGGGGTAGCCCATCCCTCAACCCATAACCCCTTAACCTAGGTGCAGACGGGATTTGATCGTAAGTCTTTGCTATAATCAGTAACAGACCTTACCAACCAGCTAGATGGCACTATATAAACAAAAATAAGGAAAGAAACGGTAGTATGATTGCAAGAAACATCAAATGGCAGCTTTCAAATAAACCAAGGTATTCAAAGTATGCATATTTTTAATAAATATTCCCTACTATGCTTACTTGTTACTGATGTGGAGCTTTTATAAAAATAAAGGTCCATGGTATCAAACACCTATGAATGATAATTGTCTTACGATATGCTTAACAACATGATGTTTACATTAGTGAAAATAAGGCTTTGTTTGGTTTAATAGAAAATAAGAGAGAAACAAAAAAAATGAAGGGAAAATTGTTAATGAATTTTGCCAAAGTTTTCAAGTGACTTTCTCAACTTTCTGTGTCTCTTCTTATCTTCCATCAAATAAAAAATGGTATAAGTTGGTGCTTGGAAGGCTTTTTTCGCAATTTCACTCTCAAGGACTTAAAACTGGTCCTGCTATATCAGCATAGCTCTCCTTTCAGGAACCTCTCATTCTAATTTTTTAATTATTTGATTTTTTTCAATTTTTTAATCCAGATAATTATCCCACAACCAATCAGTCTTTTATGAAATAAAGTGGAGCCAGAGACGTTTGGACTTGCCAAGCGTCCCCCGCCCATGTATGCCATTAATTCCACCTACAACGCTACAATACTTTATTTAAATTTTCATATCGGAGTCCTATTTGAATTTCAATTTGGTCAAAAATCCATTAATTTTTGGCAGCCTTTTCCCC